CACCTGCCTGAAATTAACTCGATGTTCGAGTCTCTGATAAAACTTTAAGAATACACACTTTGGTTCCAAGTCATTACCCCATCCAGAGGTCTTAAGCTATACCAAACTTTCTTAAATATTCTATCTTTATTTACTATTATTAAAACTAGATGAGATTTTTTTTCTTCAGACCGGTAATACCACGACTTACTGAATCAAAGGGAAGGGCACCCCGCCCCCAGCCGCCTTTTCTTGTCAGTAAGAAACACTTACCAGAAACTCTAAACAATCGACGACCTAACTGGCTCCAAATCCTTAGCCAGTTTAAAACTGTCTGTAACCAATCTGACCCCACAGCCATCCCAAGCTGAAGATATCTACGAGGGATATCGTCCAAATTGTATGGCTGCACGTCCTTGGGAAAAAGTGGGGGTTACATTATACTTACTAACCCCGAACCTCTCAACCGCGTGGTGCGGGGGAAAGAAGTGTTAATTTCAGTAGCGTTTATTGAAATTAGCAGTTCTTTTCCCCGCACCCCGAGGTTGAGAGGTTTTGGGGTAGTAAGTATAAAAGAAACGCCTGACATACTTAGCGGTCTTAAACATGTGGATGGCAGAACAGGTCTGGGAGAAGTAGCAAAAGTACAAAACATATTGACAACTACATGGGATAAGGGGAAGTGGAGAGCCATGATCGCTTACTTCCTGAATGAACACAGCACATAAAAGAAGGAGAGGGTAATATATGTCGGCGAAATCATTTTTTATTCCGAGATCATTCACTAAGGAGGAGCTCTGATTTTGTTTTTACTATTAGTAATACTAACTAGACTAGAAATTAAAATTATAATATTTTTTTTAATTATAATATTATTTTACTAGTAAAACTAACCACGACTAGTAATTAAAATAAAATTTTTAGTCCCTATTTTTTACATTTCTAGAAAGATAAAACCGAGAAAATGATCGCTTAAAATATAAAAATGTTTAAAGATTTGAACACATCAAAAAAATTTTCCGAAAAATGAAATAATGTTTTTAAAACAAATTTTAAAGACAATCTCGTTTGTGTTGTGTTGGAATCTTTGTAAAAAAAAATTATTAGCAGAGATGCATTGGTGATTAATCTTTATGGAAATGTAAAAAGTTGCAATTTAAACATTTTTTTTTTAGAGTATAATTTAGTCCAGAAAATATTGATGGATATTACGAAAAGAATAAAATTTTCTAAGATTTAAAAAAAAAAAAAAAAAATGCAATAAAGAAGTAAATAATTAATTTATATGTACTGAAATTTTCATTTAAATTGGGTCATTCCCTGAGTTTTGGTAATTTAAAAAAGTGATGCTCTCTCCGACTTTCGAAGGTTTGTGGCCCTCGGGTTAGGAAACTTTGAAATCCACATGTAATAGAGAGGGGACCACGTGTCGAAGTTTCTGCGTATGTATATGTGTGTGCGTGGGGTGGGGCGAGACCATATCGCCGGCCCTGGTGCACGTGGTAGGCGCTGGATAAAGCGTTTCGCCATTGATTTGTGTGACAAGGCACGTTTAGGTTTGCTCGTGTTCATCACAAGCGAAACACAAAGAATATTGCTGACGATATGGTAAATAGTGTTTTGCATTTTTCTAGCTAGCATGTTCTAGCCAATGGTGTTATGCTCCGTGCATCTAATGTAGTTTCTTGTAGCAAAGCTTTCTGATCTGATCGCAAGCGTCTAGCTCAAAAAGAACGCTAATGTTTTTAATCAACGAGGATCAATTCATTTCTCTCTCTCGATTCCTTTTCCTTTGTTTTAGTTTTCATAGTCTCAAGTAACGCTTCCATCTCCGACGTTAGAAGAGTTTTTTTTAGAGATTGATAGACTGATTCATTCATTCATTTTTATACGGCTTATTAACCCATTGCAATTTATTTAAAGACAGAAAATATTTTTAGGTTTAAAGAATTTTTGGAGATAATGATGGCTTGGTGATACACGTTTTACTAATTACATCACTCACACATTCAAGCTTGCATCAAATGGTATTCCCAAGCAGTCACCCATCTAGGTACTGACCAATCTTGACGTTGCTTAACTTAGGTGATTGTACAGAAAACGGTGTTCCACTTGGTTGTATGCAGTAGAGACGGAACCTTTTCGCTAATAAATCTTGATGTTTTTGCCTTGCTACAAATAGTAGTTGAGCAGTAGTTTGGCGAAATCATGTCTGACACGCAAGTGCATGCAGGGGTGGGGCGAATGTACCCACTGATATTCATCGATGCTTGCTGAGCGTTCACGGACGGCAAACAGTGCACAGTGCTGCGCTTTCACAGCAATTTATCTGACATGACATGTTTCAGTTTACTCGTGTTCGTCGGTAGGCGAAAACACAGAGCGAAACGATGAGTAAAATTATGTTTTGTATTTTTGTAGCTGATATACTAGAGCGGAAATCTCAGAGCGAGACAGAGCACGTTTCCACCATAAATATCGCTACATTTAAACAACATAATTGTATACAAACACATATGCACGGGCACACACACGTATATATATATATATATATATATATATATATATATATATATATATATATATATATATAAAAAAAATTACCCTTGAAGATGGAACAGAGCTTATTTTAACTCAATTTAATTTAAATAATTATATTGAAGTTTTCGGCTCTTGTTTTGAAACATGAGACTTCTTATGTAGCGTTTTGGAATCATATTTTTAAATAAATACGTATATATATATATATATATTCGACTCTCCCGTCGAATTCGACGCATGACGGTCAAGCAGATCCGTTCCTAGGAACCGACGTGAGATTAGACTATAGTGTTGAAGGTTTTGGTGCAGAACATTCCACACTTTTTGAAGGTCCGAATATAGAAACCTGGTGCAATACGGGCCACAAGGGCCCTAAACGACCCTCTGCAGGTTTTGAATTCCGAGTTGTCCTTCTCCTAGACTAGTTGCCATCCAAGGCTGTAGAACCCAGTCTCCCCTGCTATTTACCCATACCTGGAGGGAGAAGAAGAGGATTCATGCCTTTCTCAAGGGTATTAGCACGTAAGTAATGTAATGGATTCGACTGGAATTCGAACTCAGCTCTCCGATTCCTCAATCCATATATATATATATATATATATATATATATATATATATATATATATATATATATATATATATATGTGTGTGTGTATGTTTATAGGAGTGCTTGCAAGTAATAGAAACAAAGAAAAGAAAGAATTAATAATAATTTTGCCAACGATTTTCTCTGACAAAAGGTTCGCCGAATGGTTTCTTATATATTACTTCTTCTTTTTTAGTTTAAAGATGTTGACATCTATTCTATTTAAGGCAATAATACAATTTTCAGGTATGAAATCATTGCTCATATATATATATATATATATATATATATAGTGTGTGTGTCGCGTACTCATCTACATGTATGTATGTGCGTTGTGTGCACGTATTTCCTTCAGTTAGTTGATATCGATTATCTTCTGCGTCAGATATTGGTTTTCCATTCCAAGAAAAGTGTAGAAGAATTGAAGGCCGCTTGCCGTAATATCGTATGACATTACAAGAAGAAGCCTCCGCTATTACAACCTTTTCAATCTCTTCACCGCCCCCACCCCCCAGGTATCTCCATTACTTACTGAGACTTGTACTTGCCACAGGCTTTATCATAATATATATATTCGCGTCTTTTTAAGTATTTAAGACAATGATACTGAGGAAAAGTTTCATTGGTCCTGATGATGTTCGTTGTAATTTATATTCTGCTGTTCACTCAATAAGAGTAGATATGTTTTTCTATCGCCCGGTTCACACTCCTCCCGGGTATTTTGAACAGGAGTAGCGGTTTATTCCTTGTTTCTTATTAAGGACTGGGTTTCCTGTTCCATTTAAAGTTTACTTCAACTCTATACTCCTAACGTCTGAACTCTGCAATTTTAGTCGCTAATTAAATCTTGACCTCTTCAAATCTAGAATTAGTTGTCTATTTTTCCTGTTATCTTGCTCTTTCTTATGCTAAGATATTTCCACACAGTAAACCTCTACCTTGTGTGGCTCTTGGGCCTTGTGTTAGATGAACATTAGTAAATAAAATAAACATTAATAAATTGTATATTTTTGAGTAACTGCCTTTTCAGTGACTCGAAATCTGATCCATTAGATATGCTCGTACTTGGTGGGACGTTTGTAGACAAATCTCAGGTGCTTGATGCAAGTTACTATTTATATAGCATACTGGCCGGTATGTTTTACTTAGATCTTAGATCTTTTTTATCATTTGTAAGCCCAACTAGTAGTGTTTAGAAACACTAGTTGTAACACGTGCCCCTGGACCGTTAGGGCATAGATTTTCTCGTAAAAATTTCAATATCGAAAGTTATAAATATCTTTCTTGTTTATTCCTCAATTTGCTTCCTGCCTGCCTTCTTTCTTCTCATTGCTTTTATGTTTTTTTTCCGCGCCTATTGCTCGGTTTGCCATCCATTGTCGTCCGACCAGCAAAAGGGAGTCCCTCGCATAAATCGGCCACGCCCACCACTGACCAAAGAGGCAAAGTAAATCAACATTTCGAAACGGAAGCTTACAGATCTGATCGGCGGCGCCTTGCTCAAAAGAACGCCAGTGTTTTTGATCAACGAAGATCAATTCGCCTGATACATTTGATTGTTTGCTCAAATCATTCGCTTGGTCGTTGCGTTCAGATCGTTCCACACGAACGGGTTGGGTGTCTAGCCAGCAGGACGTTATAGATGGACTTTGCAAGCGACTATGGCTGACGTCAACGACTGACCAGTTCCGTTAAAGAAATAACGCCCTCAAGTTTAAAACCACACACAACCACTCTCTCTTTCTCTTTCTCATGTCTCTCTCTCTCTCTCTCTCTCTCTCTCTCTCTCTCTCTCTCTCTCTTTTTGTTTTCTTAGTCCGAAGTAACGCTTCCGTCTCTTCGAAGTGATTTTCTCACCCAGCCCTTCCATTTCAATCAACCGTTCCGCTTCTGATTGATTTTATTGGTAAAAATCAACTCGCGTTTTATTTTATTTTTCTGGTCCCGTTTTTATTCGTTTTTTTTTTCGCTTGATTCTTTTCTTTTTTCTCTTCTTTTCTTTTCTTTCTTAATTCTTTCCTTTCTCCATTTTTTCTTTTTTCATTCTTTCCTTTCTCCATTCTCTTTATTTTCATTCTTTACATTTTCTTTTCTTTCACCGTTTATCGTTCCCTTTTCTTTACTTTCTTTTCTTTCCTTTCTCTATTCTTTTCTTTCCCTTTTCTTTTCTTTCTCCATTTCTTTTCTTTCTCTATTCTTTTCATTCTTCATTCTTTTCTTTCCAAATTCCTTTCTTTTCTTTCTCCTTTTCTTTCCTTTCTCTATTCGTTTCTTTCTCCTTTCTTTTCTTTCTCCTTTTCTTTCCTTTCTCCATTCTTTTCTTTCTCCTTTCTTTTCTTTCTCCTTTTCTTTTCTTTCTCCTTTCTTTTCTTTCTCCATTTCTTTCCTTTCTCTATTCTTTTCTTTCTCCTTTCTTTTCTTTCTCCTTTTCTTTCCTTTCTCCATTCTTTTCTTTCTCCTTTCTTTTCTTTCTCCTTTTCTTTCCTTTCTCCATTCTTTTCTTTCTCCTTTCTTTTCTTTCTCCTTTTCTTTCCTTTCTCCATTCTTTTCTTTCTCCTTTCTTTTCTTTCTCCTTTTCTTTCCTTTCTCCATTCTTTTCTTTCTCCTTTCTTTTCTTTCTCCTTTTCTTTCCTTTCTCCATTCTTTTCTTTCTCCTTTCTTTTCTTTCTCCTTTTCTTTCCTTTTCTCCATTCTTTTCTTTCTCCTTTCTTTTCTTTCTCCTTTTCTTTTCCTTTCTCCATTCTTTTCTTTCTCCTTTCTTTTCTTTCTCCTTTTCTTTCCTTTCTCCATTCTTTTCTTTCTCCTTTCTTTTCTTTCTCCTTTTCTTTCCTTTCTCCATTCTTTTCTTTCTCCTTTCTTTTCTTTCTCCATTTCTTTCCTTTCTCTATTCTTTTCTTTCCCTATTCTTTTCTTTCCAAATTCCTTTCTTTTCTTTCTCCTTTTCTTTCCTTTCCCTTTTCTTTTCTTTCTCTTTTCTTTTCTTTTCTTTCTTCATTCTTTTCTTTCCCAATTCCTTTCTTTTCTTTCTCCTTCTTTTCATTCTTTTTTCTTCATTCTTTTCTTTCCGCTTTCTTTCCTTTCTTCATTAATTTCTTTTTTCATTCTTAGCTTGTGAGTTCTCTTCACTTTTTCATTTCTCTTTTCCAACCTTCTCTCTTTCCATTTTTCTCTTCCTTTTTCATTTTCTTCTCTTTTTCGTTTTCTCAAGGCAATTCCAATGCAAACTTCTTTTTTATTTGCTTTTCTATTTTTTCAGCCATTTTCCTCTTATTTTTTTTCATATTGATTTTACTTTCTATTCACCCTTGTTACTTTTTTGCTATAATTTCATCTTTCTCTCTTTCTCTTGCTCTCCTCTCTTTTTTTCCTGTAATGATATTTACTCTTCTCTCTCTCTTTTTCTCATTGCTCTCTCTTCTCACTCGCATATCTGCTTCTTCCTCTTCTTTCTTTCTCACCCTTTCTTTTTGCTTCTGTTTCTCTTAATCTATCCTTTTCTCTTTCCCGCTTCTTTATGTTCCCCGTGAAACTCTTCCTAATGCTTCTTCCTTTTCTTCAAACACCTCGCGTCTCTCCTCCTACTCTTGATGACCCGTTTCCCTTTGTAAAGGATTTCGCGCTCTTTTTCTCCTTCTCTGACAAACGAGAACAAGAATTGAAGGCAAAGTATCAAAAGAATATTCTCATGGCCAAAACGGCGATGTGGACAAAGACTTGAGATTAGGAATCTAATTTAATTATTCATGGGGCAAGGTAGAGTGTTGGGGCACGCATGGTGGCAGTGATTGTGAGCTAGCAGCCCAATTGGAAGCCGACGGAGAGAGCTGGTGAGTAGCAAAAGAGGAGGCAAATGTCTGGACGTGCACAGAGAACTGCTGAAAGAAATGTCTGACTGTTTTCCACTTAGGAACGATGGAGAAACAGACAAGCGGCTCGGCGACTGAATGGATGAAAGAAATGTTCAACGACGGAAAGGAAAGAAAAAACAGAAAGAAAACGAAAACAAGCAAAAATATTTGAAGGTCTGCTTAGAGAGAAGTGTGAGATACTGTGATAACGGAGCGCGCGTGTTTTGTCTGTATGCGCTGTGAAAAGCGATCAATTATTCAGGCGGGGTGGGTGCAGATTCGTGTTTGTATTCGACACAGAACGATGGAATATATATATATATATATATATATATTCTATCACGTATACATAGATATTTAGCAACTCAGCTAAATCAGTGCCAAATGGACAAAATTTGGGACAAGAAGATTTTATTGCGCCAATTTACATTTGAAATTTTGCATTGAATTTAGAAATCACACGCAGATCATTATGTTTCACTTTCATTCTATTTCCCCTCTCTCTCTTATATATATATATATATATATATATATATATATATATATATATATATATATATATATATATATATATATATGCAATTATGATATTTTTTAATCGGCCATTATTTAATTACTTGAAACTTTATATTTAGTAGCTACACGCATTTGAGTAAATATCCGTATTTTTTAAATTGTGAACTCGGAATAGTGGTTCGATTCCTGTCAATAGCCACATATTCTTTTATATATCTTTTCATCTCAGGACAAGTAAATGTTAATTTCACTTTTTATAAAAAACAGGTATCTCTACTTAAACACGTGTACCCAAATATAATGTATATATTATTATATACATACATACATTTATATATATATATTTATATATTTATATATATATATATATATATATATATATATATATATATATATATATATATATATATATATATGTGTGTGTGTGTGCGTGTGTGCGTGTATGTATTTCTTATTACTTGAAACGTTGTCCAACTGCAAATAATTATCTATTCATTCCTTAAAAATCATTTCCACGCGCATATGCATGATGGGTATTTCGGCATCTTGACGTTGTGTATTGGTCAATCAGTTTGTCTCGCCAAAACAATTACAACTGGGTAGTGAGTTCAATCCTCAATGGGTGCCCCATACTTTCAGCTTTGTGTCGCATCTATACTACGTTAGAGAATCATTACACACACACACACACACACACACACACACACACACACACACACACATATATATATATACATGGGGAATGATGCAAAATTTTCGCCACGACTTAGATCTTAAAAACTGATCAAATTACAAACATTCTAATTTCTTTGACTACCTTCGTTGTCGATTTGAGGACTTTTCGCCAAACCATCGTTAATACCTATGAAATCCAAATTACCAATATTGTTTACAAGTTTACCTGCACTCTCCGCTACTGTGAACATGCCAATAAAAATTAAATCAAAATGAATCCATTACACACACGATCAGTTCCCTTGACAGATGTATAAATAAGCATCTATAGGGCTTTAACGTAATAAGAAAACAGTTAAATGCACAAAGCCAATACCCCCGATTGCTCGTGCGAAATAACCTCGTAATAAACATAGAGATAATATGAATAATATCAAGTTGTAAAAACGTTTGAAGATATTAGAAAACAAAAGACCTTCCCTTAATAGCAGTTGAATGTGGACAGAATGTCCTGGCTGTGTTCGGAAACTAACGAGAAAACTTCACTAAGATCGAATTACTAATAATCTTCGTTCCAATGGAAATTGCTACACCATTTAAAATCGATAATCGATAAAGAATTTGCCGAAAGGGCTCGAGAAAATCAACACAATGGATAATCACATCATACACACACACACACACACACACACACACACACACACACACACACACACATATACACGGCGTGCCAAATTATTATCGAGATAACTTTTTTCTAATATTTCAAAAACCGTCCAATCAATTCACACAAAATTTTCACACAATGTTGGCAATATTGATCTGTGCAATCAATGTAAACAAACTGACACCATATTTGTAATCAGCACAGTGATTTGAGCGTGCCAAATTATTAGAAAAGTGTAAGAATTTAGTGAAAAGATGGGCCGTAAAAGCAGTTTAAGTGATGCTGAAAAGAAAACTATCATCTCAGAACTCTCAAAAGGTAAATCTACCCTAGAAATTTCTAAAATGATAGGGAGGTGTCATCAAACAGTGAAAAAGTTCACCGCCGACCCTACACAAGTACGCAAAAGGGCAGATAAAGGCAAGCCGAGAGTTATTTCACGTTGTCTTATGTCACGACTTAAGCGAGAGGCCACGAAGAACCCTGGACTTACCAGTCAAGAGCTTTTCAGTCGTATTGGGGATCCTACTGTGTCTAAAAGTACTCAGTGTCGGTATCTGAGGGAAATAGTAACAACAGTCAAAATTGTAATAATTTGGCACGCTCAAATCATCGTGCTGATAACAAATATGGTGCCAGTTTGTTTACATTGCGCAGATCAGTACGAAAATTTCAGTGATTGCGCAGGTCAATGTTACCAACATTTTGTGAAAATTTTGTGAATTGATTGGACAGTTTTTGAAATATTTAATCTTCAATATCTTGATAATAATTTGGCACGCAGTGATATATATTCTGTTTATACGTTATTTTTTAGTTACAAATATTTAAGTAAATGCTATGTTTATAATGAACAATATTAACTATATTTATAACAAATAACGTATAAACAGAAAATATATTTTTAATTAGATTCGAACACCCATTTTATAATATATATATATATATATATATATATATATATATATATATATATATATATATATATATATATATATATATATATATATATATATATATATATATATATATATATATATATATATATATATATATATTATAATTAATATATATATAACGTCTAAAAACAAAATATAAATTTAACAATATATAGATAGTATCAATATATAACTCAACAAATCAAAACCTACCCACATTTCTCACCCACACAAGACAGACATGCTTACGGAGGTGTGGAGGCCTCACACTTATACACTCACCCACACGAATATACACACTTACACACATCATACTCACTCACTCCCTAATGAGCCAAATGATAATACACACCCACAGCAATACACACGCTTACACATATCATACTCATTCACTCCCTAAGAACCAAATAGCACACACAAACACTAAACAGAGACACATCCCCTCACCAGGTCCAATAAAACTGTCAAATTGACCACGGGAATTCAGAGCAACATCTATCTATCCAGCTCTTATCTCAAGTAACAACTTAAAAGAGACTGTTTCACCAACACAAGGAATGTTAAAAGATTCACGTTAAAAAGATAAAAAAAATTAAAAAAACAAATGAAAACTACAGACAAAAGTTCATTTTCTCCAGCAATAGACTCATTTCTGTAGTTTAGTGCTACCTGCAAGCAGACATATTTCTCCTCCCGATGATGGCCATTTTGGTCGAAACTAGTTGAGGAATCTAAATGGAATAATAATAAAAAAAAACGAAAGAATATTAATCTACAACCCAGTGTGTCTAAAGATTTTAATTTTTTAATATTTTTATTGTTCAATATATATATATATATATATATATATATATTAAGTATTTCACCCCAAGCAAGGCGAGAGTTCCACTGGTTCGCAGGAAGTTACATACAGTGAAGCTGAGAGAAAAAAAAAAAAAGAAACTGTGTATAAGGGGAATGAGGAAAGGATAAAAGATGAATGGCGTCCAAGACGTCAAAAGATGGCGATTGAAGATGCATTTAAATTTTTGAAGATTGTGGTTAACAGGGAAGCAAGTAAACCTAAGGGAATTCCACAGACAAAGTGTATGAGAGAAAAAGCTGTTGGAGTAGAAGTGGTGATAGAAGGGTGGGCACTTGATGCCATTCTTGTAGTACGCTTAAATTTATGGAGTGTGATATATTTGGTGATAAAACAATATCAGGGATAGAGCAAATGTAAATACAAAAAATAAAAGTGAACAATTAGGTCAACGCCAAACGGTGATAGACTGTTTCATGTGTGAGCGTAATCTCCCGTAGACTGAATTTAAGCATGAAATTGTTGCTGCTTGGTGTTGACCTTATATATATATATATATATATATATATATATATATATAGAGAGAGAGAGAGAGAGAGAAAGAAAGATAGAAGCAGTATGGATTATCAACATGTATATAGTCACAGCGTACACAGTTCATATTTATATGTATATATGTATGCGTCTCTCTATCATATGAAAGTTCACCAAAATATTACTTTAACACAAAGTAGCCACATCTGCGCAAGAGGATGTATGTCTTTAATAGAACAACAAAAAAAACACATAGCCGCTGTCCATATTTGATGATATATGATGACTTACTCAAGTCGTAGCCATCATGTACTTATGTATGTATAAATCTTTCTCTCACACACATTCTAACACTATGTCTGTATATATATATATATATATATATATATATATATTCATTGTATCTAAAAAAGCTCTATCCTTTATTTCGAGCACTCTTCCCTAATAAATATACAAGCAAAGGAAAAGAATATAATCACACATACGCATACACAAGCACACACCAACACTCACACACTTTCTCTCACCCCCCCCATATATATATATA